TTCTTATAAACAGGCCATTCAGGATGGCTATTTGATGTACAAAAAGCAGTTTATTACTATTGAATTCATTTGGATAATGATATAACAGCACTCTAAATGTTAAAACCTGCATGCTGTTTTTTTTAAAAAAAATATTTTCTATAATATCAAGATATTATTATTGCCATTTATGTCACCACTGTCAGTGAACCCTGGACCATAGCAGCAGCAGGGATTAATTGGAGGAACTTGCACTGTCTGCAGAAACAATCCAAGGACACCTCTGTACTTAACAGTAAGAGCACAAGTCTGACTCCAGGTTGTGCCACTACTGTAAACCCCAAGAACCTTCCTTGAGGTTGCAGACCAAACTGTATGGTGCCCACTTTAAATTCACTAATGACACAGAGCAGGGAAGACACAAAACCATATACTGAAGTTCAGAAACCTGGAGCTCAGAAGCTGGAGCTCAGAAGCTGGAGCTCAGAAGCTGGAGCTCAGAAGCTGGAGCTCAGAAGCTGGAGCTCAGAAGCTGGAGGTAGCATCCCCTGGGTGGTACCCCCATGCTGTAGGATGAGCAATGCACTCTTTAGGTGAGAGATGCACTCTTTAGGTGAGAGATGCATGTGCTCACTGGCCAGTGGACACTGCCAGATAGAAGATGGACAACCTTGATGGTCGAGGATAGAAACCATTCTCAGTCTCTTAAACCTACAGTGGTTGCGGGTACAGTGTCATAAGAATGGTGGAAAACCCAGCCTGGTATTCCCTCATTTTTCTTGCCTGGTTATTTATTTTTAAGATAATTGAAAAATATACTTCTAAGCTTTTTCTCTCCCTCAGAATCATTACCTACCTCCAGACTTCTTAAATGAGCCGGCAGCTCCGCATGCGGCTGCTGTTCAGTTTACCTACTTCTGACTTTCCTGCGCGAGCACAGAGCCTTCAGCCACGCCACTAAACAAATGCTGGATAGACAAAGTCACGGCCTCAGAGAGAGATGTCAAGTGACAATGTGGACTAAGGAAGCAGTTTAATTATCCCCAGTCATTCCCAGATACCATCTCTACTCAGATATTCCTCCAGAAGGTAATGGGCAGCTTGGCCAGTCACCAGCTGAGGTACAGTCCCGAGGGACCACAGCCTAAGACAGAGACACTCAGCTCAACCCATCAGATAAACCCAGTTTGGGGAAGCACCTTATTTCAAGTTTTGTACTTACTGAGACCTTATCCAGGTGTGGTGTTCTACATATTACTATCATTATATTTTTCTGGAGTCGCTAAATTTAGAAAGATCTCTCCTTATGGAGATTTTCAAACCCGCAAACAGAATGATGGAACAAACACGACACACAACAGTCATCTTCAAAACATGAGCATTTTGTCATCATGTGTGTGTCTATCTCTGTGTGTGGGTATGTGTGCACAGGTTGCGTGGGGAGGGGAGTGCATGTGAACACTTAGGTGCACGTGCCTAAGTGTGCAGGTGGAGGCCAGATGACAACCTCTGAAGTCATCAGGTGCAAATTCACCTTGCTTTCGGAGACAAACCTCTCACTGGTCTAGAGGGGTGACAAACAGGCTTGGGCTGGCTGTCCAGGGATACCTCCCAGTGTTGGATATTATTTTTTTTTAACATGGTTTCCGGAGACTGAACTCAGATCCCTAGGCTTGCAAAGCAAGGGCTTTACCAACTGAGCCGTCTTCCCAGCTCTGTTTGCTATCCCCGTTCTCATCTGGGCTTCCCACCCTACCACTCGTTACCACCTCCTTGGAGGTCGGATTCATGCGCTTTGAAATGCATAAATATTAACTGAACATGTTTGGCAAATACTAGGTACAGTCCCTCAGCCTGTGTGCCTGCCAAGAACGGATCTCTCCATACCCCCAGGAAGTTCCCTCATGTTCCTTCCCAGTTTAGTGCTCCTTGCCACCTGGGCAAGCATCCTTTGGCATTTGTCTTTCCTCATGTAAATAAGGTGAGTGGAAAGAACCTCTACTGCATTTGGCAGCCTGCACTCAGCACCGCGCCCTTGAGAGAGGCCCGGGGCGCACCTGTAGGTAGCTCATTTCTCTTTGTGGTGGCGTAGCATGTTGTTGCATGAATATGCCACAGGCTGTGTGTCCATTTTCCTGCGGGGTGCCAAGTGAGTTTTTCCCAGTCTTTGGTCACTATGGATACAGCTGTTTGGCATCATCTAGTTTTGCCATCTCCCGAGGTTGATGGACTCCCCCACATTCTCTACAGTCATATAGAAAATTCCAACTATTATTTTTGTGTGTGCCAGTTTCTATAAGAAGCCTGCTGGGATGGCGATTGAAATTGTTTTGAAATTTCAGATTGATTTGTAGATAGTTGACATTTTGCCGATATTGATTTTTAAAGCCATGAATATGGTATATCTTTCCAGCAATCTGGGGTCTCATGTAGCCTAGGCTGGCAGCAAACTAGCCATGAGCTTCTGATCTCCCTTGCTTCACCTCCCAAGTGCTCAGATGCCAGGAGTTCCCTACCACACCTGATTTTATGGGTGCTGGGGATAAAATCCACTGGGCAAGCAACCTACTACGTGAGCTCCATCCCCAGCACCTAGGAAATGCTTTCTTGTTCTTGGTTTGGAGACCGGATGTGTCCCTCATCATAACTCTTTCCAAGAACATTGATTTCTCTCACTCTTAAAAACATCTGCGTCCACTTCTTTCCACTTGTCTGCTAGCGGCATGTAAACATTCATCAATTTGGAGCTGGAGAGATGGCTCCGCAGCTACGAGAACTTGTGCAGATACAGACTGGTTTATTCCCAGCACCCACATGATAGCTCACAACCATTTATAACTCCAATTCCAGAAAACCTGAGGTCCTCTTCTGGCCTCTGCAGGCACTGTATACATATGATGTAGAAACATACATGAGGGCAACAACAATGCACATAAGAATATAGATAAGCTGGGCGGTGGTTACACACGCCTTTAATCCCAACACTTGGGAGGCAGGGGCAGGTGGATCTCTGTGAGTTCGAGGCCAGCCTGGTCTACAAGAATGTTCCAGGACAGGCTCCAAAGCTACAAAATCAAAATTAAATAAATAAATACCTAAAAATCCACTGGGCTTTTTTTGGGGGGGGCATATATTGGATTCGATATGACCCATAGTGGGGAGCAGAGGCTCAGGGCTGTCAGAGTGCTGCCAGGAGTTCTGGGTGTTTGTGTATCACCCCAACTATGTTGCCTGACCTTTCACCAAATTTCACTCAAAAACAAACTTACTACATTTCAAGTAGTAATGGTTTTCCAGTAGCAATGGGAGTCAGTGGGAAGACATTAAATGTAGAAAATGGTGAAAGTGAGGCATATCAAATACTTTATGTAAAAATGAGCCTTAAACGTAGGGAGAAGCGGTCACCATACTTGGGTTACCTCAGCAGACAGTTGCCAGGGACCTGCTTGCATGGGAGTCACTTGCTGCTGGCTATAGACTGAACAGTGACTGAGTAGATGTTGCACCTGCTGCTTAGAAGCTGGAGACGAATGGGCTGTGGGCTATTGTTAGCGACACCAAGACTGGACTGGAGATGCTTACAAGACTGGAGGACAACACAGAGGGGACAGGAGCGATAGATCCCAGACACAGAACAGGGTTGGTGTAGGAATACTGTGACACCTTGGTGAAATGGGGACCTTATGAGCTGGAGAAGGGCTAAGGGATCTTGCCTAACCCCTGGGCAAAGTCTACCTGCCCTCTTGGCACCCCATCAGGTGGGCTTTAGAGCCACTGAATACAGAGGCCATTAACAACCTTATCAGTTACCACAGAAACCACACTTAAGCAGGAACAAACTGGATTAGGACCTCACTTGGTTAACTGCTCACAACTGGCCGTTCAGCACTGACAACGCTGGCAGATTTCACACACTTATATAGTTTGGGGAGCAAATCCTGCAAAGCCAATTTAATCAAGGACTCCAGGTCTCTAGTTTGAATTAAGGTTACTTAATACTTAGGAGCAAGTCAAGCTTAAGATGGGAGGTAGGGACTATCTAAGTGGGATGAAGGACTAAGGGGGAAACTATCTTGTGTTGTCTAGAACTGAGTGTTTGGTTTCTAGAATCTGGATTCCATCTTTGGACTTGCAAGGTAGCAGGATCTAGGAAACTTCCAGAGCAGATCAACGTCCAGCCCTCACCCTCCACCCCCACCCTCATGTCTCTTTGCTTTTCTGCCCTATTTTCTGTACTTGTGGGGACTCTGCTCACGGCTAAGTCTTGAGAGCATGGCTGAGAGCTGGACCCTGGCAGCCTTTCAGCAATACAATGGCATCCAAGACTGCCGTGCTGTGTTTCACAGAGTTAAGGTCCCTCTGAAAAGACCTGCTTCAACCCCCAAGATGAGACTGACAGCTCCCTAGGCGTACAATCCAAATGCCTGATTCAACCCTTCCATTTGTACTCTCTGCGCTCCTGGTGTGCTTGATTGAAAACCCAGCCTCAGTCTCTCTGCTATAGGCTGGAAGTCAGAGTCCCCCACCAGAGGCCCTGGGATGTGTGGGGTTCAGTGAGATGTGTCACCCCCTAAGGGAGTGGTTTGCTGGGGGCTCAGAGGCAGTGGTTTTTATTAGGGGATTTTTTCCCACTTTGGAATAAAAAAAATAGATTGATTTTTTTTTTTTTTTGATTTTTGAGACAGGGTTTCACTGCAGTTTTTGGTGCCTGTCCTGGAACTAGCTCATGTAGACCAGGCTGGCCTCAAACCTATGGAGATCTGCCTGCCTCTGCCACCCGAGTACTGGGATTAAAGGCACGCATCACTACTGCCTGGCTGAAATCGTATTTTTAAAACACTGCTAACTAACAGTTTCAACAGCAGCTGGTTAGGGAAGGAGGGAATGGTCTTCCTGTGTGGAGCCTTTTACCTCCTAGTCCCCGCTCAGCCATGGAAGGAGGTGGTCCACTCCTTCAGGGTGCCAGTTCGCGACTTCGGAGATTTCATTTTCCTCTGAACTACAATTCCCGATGAATTTACCTTCAAGGGTTGGGTTCTCTTTCCTCGATCGTCACTTGACTTTGTCAGCGGGCAGTTTCCTGGGCTCCTCGGGGCATCAGCAGTCCCGCAGTAGGATGCGCAGCATGCATAGTTAGTACTGGAGGTTGGCGGCTTTGAGGCTTACACGTTGCTCTAAATGCGTCTGCTGATTTTCCATCTGCTAAATACCTGCCACCAGAGGAAGAGGAAGCCTTTGTCACCCAGACCCCGCTTGACCTCCACATCCCCTCCACTTGAACTTGGATCCAGCATCCCTGTGCTCTCAGGCACACATGGTACCATCAGACTGACCTACTGCTGATACACAAGCTGAGAACTTGGTTAACCCATAGATTTGCCTTCCCCCCAAAGCCGTTCTCAGTATCCTGGCTCCCCAGGGTTAGAAATGCCGGGCGCAGCATCTGTCTCGGGGCTGAAAGAGAGCACTAAAGAATAGCATCTATTGTCTGTTTATCCAACATCTGCAAACAACACAGCCCAGGATACTGTAGGACCCACGATCACCCAGATTTCTGTGCAGTTAGGTGACAAGCTCAGCGGCAGGGAAAGAAGCCACCAGAAGGCTGGTCCCAGCTTAAACAGTGGTGTCTCTGCACGGTGCCTGCCGAATACCCACCCTCTCAGCGACAGACTCTTGGGCACTGGGCTTGGGTGGCCATTACAGATCTAAAACCACCCTTTCTAGTGCCCGTAGGACTACGTATGCACAGCTACAGTATGGGAACTGGACATACGGAAAGCAACATGTTGGTTGGTCCTGGCCCTGAGCAGGAATCTCTCAGCGGATTTTCCCTCTAAGATTCAGAGTGTAAACAGTGAAACGTGGGGGAGTTTGTAGTTCTCACACCTACCATGACGAGCTGCTGCGTCGTCTCTTTGTTCTTCAATGTGTATGTGCAGTTCATATGCATGTAAAAGGATGTTCACATGGATGGGAGATGCATGTGCTCCTATGTGTGGAGGCCCAGGCTGATGTAGATGGTCTTCCTCCATTGTTCCCCTTTTTATTTACTGAGGCAGGGTCTCTCTGGAGTTCCCTGATTCAGCTTTGCTCTCGGGAGTTTGCTGTACCTATCTCCCATAGGTGCCACCACAGCCACCTGGGTTTTATACGCACAGCGGGATCTCGAACTCCAGCCCTCATGCTTACATGGCAAAGGTTTTATCAACCGAGCCACTTCTCGAGTCCCTGTGTCCTCCCTTTGAAGCTCAGAAGTGTTCTGGGCTCCAGGCATCTTCCTGGTCAGGGTGCACGCTCCAGTGATGCCTGCTGCTCTCCCAAGCCGGTGTGCAGCTGGAAGAGCCCATCAACAGAGCCCAGAACAAAGAACGCAACGGCCCCAAAGAGCAAGTGTTACGTGTCCCAGGAAGGATCCAGGCCATCCCATGAGGCGCCAACCACGGAGACACTTGATTGATAGCACCAAATAATTATTCACGGTGTTGCTGTGAGCGCGCCTTCCTAGAAAGCCAGAGATGAATAAAATATATGAGGGTTCATCAAAATATACTGCAAGGACAACATATACAAACAGTACATTAAGCATTGTGGAAGACAATAAAGAGAGCTGGAAAAGCAGATCAGAGTTAGCAGCTGGGCTCAGAGTCCACACGCATCCCTGCAAACAGGAAGCAGCCAGCAGACTTCTCTGCGGTCCCGGGAATATTCCGATAGTTGGAAAAATGTGAGTGGATCCATTTAAACGGCCCCCTCTTTTCTAAAGAATATGGCCCTGGTCCCCAGCTCAGCGACAGAGTGTGCCTGCCACCAGACTGGGGCTCCTCTCCTTGCAGAGTGCAGTGTCAACAGAAATGCTACCGTGACATTTCTCTCTCTCAATTACTTGTAGGCTTCTCACCACCCGTATAAAATACATATCGTGCTCCGGTGAGATTCATTGTACCAGGGTCAGCGGGAACTCATTGTCCTTTTGCTGCAGAACAAGACAATACTGACATCTGTTAGATTTGCTGTAAGTAATCCAAGTGGTTCAGGTACAGAATGAGGGGCAGGGGAGGGCAGGAGAGACCAGGCTGGGAAGGAAGGGTGGAGGAAGGGTGGTGCACAGCAGAGGAGGGAGCCGGGGAGAAACCTGGTAGAATTTAGCCGCTATCCATCACCTGGCAGTTTTGAGGCTGCTTGGGGAAGACTTCACGGAGTAAAGAGCACTGTCTAAGAGCAACACATTCTTCTGAATACACACAAGACTACAATGGCCTCGATGCCCAGTGGTGCACCTGGCCTTCATCCCTGGCACAGAGGAGTCAGAAGAGCCAGGCCAGAGGGAGCTCGGTGGCACTTCCTGTGCCCCTCTTCAGAGGAACCACACAGAATCCAGCGGCATGGTCAGGACTTCTAATTGGGATGACAGAAGTCTATGATTCCGATTAGGTGCAATGGAGTTATTTACTTGACAGCTCCAATCAATAAGTTAAAACGGGGTGGGGGTGGGCCGTCACCCCGCACAAAGACTCCAGGAGCAGAGAGGCCAGTGGGCGTCTGAGGTGTTGCCCGGCCGCTGGCCTTTTAAGTCAGTATGTGAGAAAATCAAAAGCATGTTTGACAACCAGTCAGGGGGAAGCTCTTCTCCGAAGGAGAGATTTTTCATGGCAAAGAAAAGTTGGCGACAGGCAAGAGACTGTGCCTGGGATGACAAATGAGGGCAAGGAATCCTACTGGAGGCTCTCGGAGGTCCCACTGTCCGTTTCCTTCTTTACCTGGGTAGGAGGCAGTCTGCATGTGCTGGTGTGCGCGTGTAGGTACGTTTATGTCTAAGAGACAGCATGCTTTCACATTGTGTGGTTGTACATGTGCACGCTTGCATATGAGGGAGAGGTATGTTGAAATGCATGTACATGAATGTAGGAGGAAAGACAGCATGTCAGTGTGTGTGTGTGTGTGTGTGTGTGCGCGCGCGCGCGCGCGCACGCATGAGAATGAGCATGAGTGTTCATGCAGATGTCGGAGGGGTCAGCTGAGCACACCTGCACACATGTGCGTGTATCCAGCACGTCTTCCCAGCCTATAGTTTGGGACCCTGTCTGAGAAGGGATGTCAAGTGCTAGACCTACGTTCGGCTTCCGTCTCACCTGGTGTCCAGCCACCAGTCACCTCCACTCAGGACATTCTGCTCTTAAAGACAAAGATCTCCCCAGCCTGCGCCTTTGATTCCTTCTTGGCATCTCCAGAAAGGCGAGCATGTGATTTCAATTTGAAATTAAAAGTCAGTTCTGAATAACAGAACCTCGCTCTCGTTTCCTAATGCCCTGCTTTTTACTACTTAGCATTCAACTGTGAAAAGTCTTTTAAAACTCGGAACAGCAGTAAAACTTGAATGAATTTTTGACCCATTATTGCATAGCGGGTGCGCCTTCCAAGTTGGAGAGACTGCCAAGTTCTCGCCACCTAATATTTCCACTTTAATTGTGCCACTTGAGAAATTTACGTGCCTCAAAATATGGCATGAATCTTAGGCTTATTGCAGTATCATTAGCAGCAGCGTTTAAGCAACATCTGTGTGCTATAGAACTAATTGAAGCAGCAGAAGTGGCAGCTGTAAATCCACAGGAAGATGGCAGTTTGTACCCGGCACTGCTGAGCTAGCGCCTAACTGTCAGCCTGTTCCCGCAATCTGCTGCCGAGCACCACAGTACAGGCACACAGTGTCCAAAAAAATACAGCGAGGAGGCTAATGACCCTGTTAACCACTTTGCTGCACCGATTTGGCTGTTTTTCCAGTTTCCTGGTCGAATTTCATTATAAATTTTGCCATTTCTGTAAAAATGTCCAGCGTGATGCGCGTGCGTCTGACTTTCCGTGACTTACCTGAGAAACGCTCGTCTGGCCAGAACAACCATTGATTTTTTTTTCTTTTCTGTGATTTGATAATTCCGTACACCGCGCCCATTCTCCTTCCCAGTGCGTAACAATTTGATCACACGTTATTTCCATTAAAACGAAACCACCAAAGATTTAAATTACTCCTAAATGTTTAAAAGCAATGTTTTTTTTTCTTCCCATGGACACACCACGTTCAATAATCAATACAAGATGGCAGCTGTAGTTTATTATCGATTGGGAGTTGAGGAAGAGGTATAGGGTGGTCAGATTATCTGAGGGCCTAGGGCACCTCTCCATTGACTGGCTGGGTCATTCATGACAGCTGAGTGAATCCAGTTACGTACTGGTTTGTTCTGTAAAGGCTTTGACTCTCTTCCTTCAACAGACAGAGAAAGAGAAACGGGATTGAGCTGAGCTGGTTGCGAGAAATGACCCCAGACTCCTCTCTCTGATGGAGATGTGAGGACCTTGGAGCCCTTGCTTCTATTTGGAGCAATTCTTGCAGAGGGCAACTGGAAAAAAAATCTCTCTAATATCTGTGAAACTCAGCCCCGGTTTGCTTTAAACTCTGCTCCTGACAGCTTTTGTCTTGACAGTGGATGCATGCTCCTCCCTCGGTGCCTGGCCCGTGCACAAGGATGGAATGGATATCTTTAGAAGCACTTGAGAGTGTTGGAAATACACAAAAGAAGTCCTCCTTCGATATGTGATGACTGTGTGTTTGCCAACAACCTGACTTCATTAGAAACTTGGCACGTCCACCCGGCTGCCATGTGACACGCCGTTAACTGTGGACATTTGTCGTCTTAATGCTCAAGTACTCAGGGACTCAACTGATAAGGGAGAAACTGCTTGGAATCCACTGAACCCCACGCCTAGGGTGGCACACCACCTCATGGTATTGAAAATCAATAGCCACGTGACCACTTGGAGGTCAGAGGGTTCCAGAATTAACTTTCTGGTACTAAATTACAATCCCTTGTTTCTTGGTTTATTTCCTGATAATAACACATTTTAAGGGGGGTCTGGTTAAAAACCACTTATGAAACACTCAAGGAAAAAAAAACACAGAATTGCTGGTGAACAGTTGCCAGGGTCTCCCGCCAGCTCAGACATTGCTAGGCTGAGAGGAGTGGGTACTGAGAGTCCATAAGTTTGCAGCTAAGCTTTAGTTTCCTAATGTTTATCTATCTATCTATCTATCTATCTATCTATCTATCTATCTATCTATCTATCATCTACCTACCTACCTAACCTACCTACCTACCTACCTACCTACCTACCTACCTACCTACCTATGCTCTTTGGGAACTGTCAGTTCCTCCAATATCAAAATAATGTTACTTGAGAGCAATTTGGACATTATTGCCATCCTGGGATGCTGTAGTCTGAGCAGATAGCACAGACAAGGAGATCAGACTTCCGGTATTTCACTTCTGCTGCATGCAGATTTCCATACTTTTCTATGGCTATAACTCAGAATAAAATCTGGTGAGCATCTCTTCACACTTACACTCAAACATATTGGTGTGCCCCGTCACAGATTCCTGACTCACATCTACTAATGCTAACATACTGGAAAAAAAAAAAAAAAACGGAACTGAAGGCTGGTGAGAATGCTCATCGTGGAAAAGCATCTGCCACACAAGCCTGATGACCTGAGTTCAATCCCCAGAATGCACCTCACGAAGTCAGATGTGGTGGTGCACATCTGTAACCATAGCACTCCTATGACCAGATGAGAGTCAGACAGGAGAATCACCTGGAGGTTCAAAGGCCAGCTACCCTGAAGCGCACAGTGTGGTGGAAACGAGAGGCTCTGCGGTGACAAGGTGGAAAGCAAGAACAGTCTGTAGAAAGTTGTCCTCTGACCTCTGCATAAATGTCGTGGCGTGTGCGTGCCCACACACAGACATACACACTTATAATAATAATAATAGTAATAAGGATAAATTTAAAACAAAACAAGCAAATGGAGCCGGGAAATCAAAACTACTTAATGCATGTGAAAATAGCAAAGGGCACCAATAACATATTTGTAGTTAAAAATAGCTATTTCCTAAAGAGAGGACATTGAAGCACTGTTTTCCACTCATGTGAGCTGTGAGGCTTGGCTTCACGGAAGAAGCCAGACCTGCACTGTCTCCACATCCAGGCCACCACGATGTGTCCCTCGGTGGGTGCTGCTGAGGAAGGTCTGTCCTCGCATACCTGTATCTAGGAAAGCCACGACAACGCCAGCATCTTTCAGAAAGCCCTGGGTAGTCTTTGATCTGATGCCCGAACTGAAATACTGTGGCCTCGTTTCGGGTCTGCTGCAGTATGATCTCAGCCTGCCAGGAAAGTGCTCTGTACCTCAAACTCCATGGCTCCATCCTGCATTCAAAAGGTGTTTACCCACGTATGATTTTCTGTGCCATGACTGCCCACGGGAATTGTTGGTTCAAAAGTCTCTCCAGTGTGGACACATTTTACTACAGGATAGACATTTAACATAAACACACACACCTTAGTACAGATGCCTCTAACTACCAGGAAGCTGTAAAACTCACAGAGAAAGACACACATTTTCAAAAAAATCCTAATTTTTTTGTTCAAAAACGTCAACTTTTACCACTGGTAACAAATCCTCCTTGAAGGGACCAATTCCCTTCATATTTCAGCAAATGCCTACTGAGCACGAATCTTAATAACCATGGCCAGATGTTCATCTAACATTGAGACTGTGGAAGACCTTGACCACATGGAAGTGTGCCAAGACCATCCCCAGGCAGCAGCCCCCTGACTTAGCCCATCCACCCACTAACTCTTCAGAATAATTCTGCCTTTGGCCTGCAGGCCTCCAGGTCCTGGGGTAAGTGACACTCATACCTTTTGCTCTCTGTGTGGCCTTTGCAAGTCATGCGGAAGTCTTGAGCAGACCTGGTCCTGGGAAAGCAGCAGTCTGAGGGTCACACAGCACTGAAGGAAAACACCAGAGGAGGCTTTGGGAAGCTGCAGAAGCCCAGGGGATTCTCAGTGTGACCCAGGAGCTTGGGGGAGGCTGTCTGGCAGTTTTCCTGGATTTGGAGGATCACAATTTAAAAACAGAAAACAAAACCAAAGGTGTGGTAATGAATGCCTGTAATTCCCTAAACTGGGAGAAGGCTGAGGCCAGATTGTTACAAGTTTGAAGCCCGCCTGGCCTACACAGCTGAGTTCCAGGCCAACTCTGTCTCTGTCGTAAGGCCCTGTCTCAAAAGAAAAAGCAAACAAGCACATGACAGCATCCAATCCAATCCTTTTTAGACGCGCATTTTACACGTGGTTTCTGTGAGCCCTGCTCCCACAGGGCTGGGTCTGAGGGCGCAGCCACTGCGGTCCTTGGCTGTCTCTAGAAGAGGAAGGTGTCTGCTAATTGTGACACTGCCGACGCTGTCAGCAGCAACTGCAGAACTCGGGCTGGGGTGGGGCTGCACCCCTGTGATGTTTCTCCTGGACTTAGAGGTAGCCCTGCTGACTGGCTGCAGTGTACAGGGAGAAAATAAGCTTCTGAGAAGACCCTTAGCCAACCATTCTCCTGCCCCAAAAGGTGCACCTTACCAGGCGCTGGAAAATGGCTCAGTTCCCAGCCCCCATATTAGGCAGCTCAGAGCTCCCTGTCATTCCAGTTCCTGGGGCTTTGGCACCTTCTTCTGGTTTCACAGGCACCTGCACACGGATGGTGCACACACACAAGTAGCACACATGCACAATATAAATAAAATTTGAAAAATGTACATATTAGCATCATGGTTTAAGGAAATCAATGGTTTGCCATGGGCTCTGTACATTCCAAGGAAGCTGATACCCTGAAGAAGAGAAACACGTGGCTCATGTGCCCTTGGATCTAGGGGTGGGCAAAGACTGAGGCTCAGCCTCTTTCTTTCTTTCTTTCTTTCTTTCTTTCTTTCTTTCTTTCTTTCTTTCTTTGTGATATTTTATTTTTTTATTAATTTATTAAAGATTTCTGTCTCTTCCCCACCATCGCCTCCCATTTCCCTCCCCCTCCCCCAATCAAGTCCCCCTCCCTCGTCAGCCCAAAGAGCAATCAGGGTTCCCTTGGACTTCCCTCAGCCTCTTTCTTAAAAAATTTACGGCGAAGATCTCTTTTTCCTTAAGGAGAATGTACCACCGGCCAGAATCAGGCCAGCTGGCCAGAACCAGTGACAGGTGTCTCACGACTTACACTTTCCAGGGAACAAGCTTCAGACCACCCCACTTCCGCAATGAGAGCCCCGAGGACAACACACACTCGCAGAGCTGCCGCACAGCGTGTAAAGCCCAGCCCAGGGCCGGCCATTCCTGCCATACTTAGTTCCAGCAACCCCAAGGAGCGGGCACCTTCCTGTCTCCTGTCACCAGCCCGGCACTTCAGTCCACCCGTACCCCCAGATCCAGCCAGGCCCGCCACTCTTCTGTGACTCCGTGCAAGTGTCAGTACCAGGAGGACCGGGCAATTACATTCCACATCTGAATTTCTTCTATTTTCAAAGTGTTCTACACTAATTAGTGCTGTTAGCTCTAAGGATTAGTAGCCTCTCTAACAAGACACACGACATTAAGTGACTTACCTAATTATGTAAAACACAGGGAAGGGAGAAGAGAAGGCAGGCTTCCCTCGGGCAGGGCTCAGGCCTACACTGCCCACTGCTGTCCCCACCCGGCTTCTGTTCTCCTGACTTTCCAAGCCGGAGACAGATGGTGTGGTGTGCCTACCTCTAGACAGGGGTGAGTGTGCTCACCTCAAGGTCCTCCTCAGTTCATCCTTCCTGCAAGGACCAAAAGCGGGGGTGGGAGTGGGGCAAATATTATGTGGATAAAAGTGCTGCCCAGGAACAGAACCTGCCCCAGAGCCATGAACTGGAGGAGGGTACAGGTGGTGCAGGCTCAAAGGGCCTCCTCAGGTGTGTGGGTGTGGCTTGGTCTTATGTCTTTTGTCTTAGGGGTGCAGAGCTGATGACAGCCAGGTGTTGCTCTCCTCTGATTGGTCATCATCTGAGACAAAAAAAAATTCCACATGTCCAGCACTCATGGCCTAGGGTCTGCCTTCTGCCTGGCTCCCTGTTATCTGCTGGTTCCCTGGTGGCCTCTTGCAGGGCTTACACCAACTCTGTCCTCCTCTTCTCCCTCTAACGTTATTTATCTATTTCTTTTGTATGTCTGCGTGTGTCTGTGTAGGTGTGTGTGTGTGTGTGTGTGTGTGTGTGTGTGTGACTGGAGGTCATAGGGCAACCTGTAGTGGGAGTGAGGTCTTTTGTTTCCCATCAGAGTTCTGGGGATCAAACTCTGGTTGCCAGGCTTGGTGGCACACACACACACACACACACACACACACACACACACACACACACACCTTTACCTGCTCACTGTCTCGCCAGCGTCTGCTCTTCCCAAAGGCTACACTGCCTTCCACTTGCAAGGCTGTCTGTCTTGCTCTGCTTCCACGGCAAGCTTCCAGTTCAGCGGAACAGCTATGCCTGACCGTCACCTAGAGGCGAGCGGACCCACTTTTCCCTAGTTGTACATTCATGCCAGGAGGCGCTGGGCCAGCCCATGTCCACAACACACTTACTGTTTCCCGTGAGCTGCTGTCACGTGTGATGGGGGCCACAGACAGTCTTGTAGTGGCTGTGGCATAGGCTCACGCAAGTGTTCCTGTAGGATGGTTCTTTTTAACTTTATGTGTTGTGTGTCTGTGGTGTGTTATGCACATATGCAGTGCATGCCTGTGCAGAGGGGCTAGTGATCCCCGTGTACTCAAATGGCAGCTAAGGCAGGGCGCTGGGCTTTCCAAGCCTGTAGCACTCTCTACCTCGCTTTGGGACAGGATCTCTCACTGAGCTGGAAGCTTGCGGTTTGGGTGAGGCTGGCCGGCCACTGAGTTCTCAGGATCTGCCTGGCTCTGCGTCCCAGTGCAGGGGTGACAGCCATGCACGGCCATGCTTCGCTTTTCATGTGGGTGCTGGGGTCCAAACTCAAGTCTTCATTCTTGCAGGGTCAAGTCCCCATTCTTGCAGAGCAAGCAGGTGCTCTTAGAGCCTCACCTCTCCAGCCCCAGGAAGGGCCTTAAAAAGGGATTACTGTGTTCTTGGCCCCTTTCCTAATATCACTCCTCTCTATGACTGGACTCCAGGGGTTCAGTCCGGTGCTGCCCTGTGGATCTCTGCATCTGCTTCCATCAGTTACTGGATGAAGGTTCTATGACAACAATTAAGGTAGTCATCAATCTGATTACAGGGGAAGGGCAGTTTAGGTACCCTCTCCATTACTGCTTAGATTTTCTTAGCTGGGGTCATCCTTGTGGATTCCTGGGAATTTCCCTAGGGCCTGGTTTCTTGCTAGCCCTATAATGGCTTCCTCTTTCAAGGTATCGTTTTCCTTGCTCTCCCTCTTTGTCCTTCACCCAACTCAACCTTTCGATCCCTCATGTTCTCCTCCCCCTTCCTTCCTTCCCTCCTCACTCCCTACCACTCTCCCTTGTCCCCATGCTGCCGATTTACTAAGGAGATCTTGTCTACTTTCCCTGCTGGGGCGGGGGAAAATCCATGTATGCCTCTCTTAGGGTTCTCCTTGTTTCCTGTCTCCTCTGGGGTCATGGACTGTAGGTTGGGTAGGCTGGTTATCCTTTGCTTTATGTCTAACACCCACTTCTGAGTGCGTACAGACTGTGCTTGTCTTTCTGTGTCTGGTTATCTTACTCAGGATGGCTTTTTCTAGTTCTATTTGCCTGAAAGTTTCAAGATGTCCTTGTTTTTTGTTTGTTTGCTTCTTTCTTTGTTTATTTCTCTGTTTTACCACTGAGTAGTACTCCATTGTGTAAATGTAGCACATTTTCTTTGGAAAACCCAGAGACAGCTGACTAGAACAGGTGGGACCGCACAGACCCCGGATTGACAGGCGGAGAGCCTGCATAAGACTGAACGTGGCTGACAGTTGTGTGACTTGGGCAGTTTTCGAGGCCAGTTGCAGTGGAACCAGGATTTATCCCAGGTACATGAACTGGCTCTTTGGAGCCCATTCTCCTTGGAGGGATACCTTGCTTAACCTAGATACAGATGGGAGAGCCTTGGTCCTGCCTCAAGTGATGTGACAGACTTTGTTGACTCCCCATGGGAGGCCTCACCCTCTCTGAGGAGTGAATGGGGGTGGGGGGGAGGGGTGGGAGGATGAAAGGGAGAGGAAACTGGATTTGGTATGTAAAATAAAATTGTTTTAGAAATAAAAAAAAAGAAAGAAAAATATGGAATTACTACAGGGCAGTTGACTCATGAATATCACCACTATCTCCACTGATGCTGCAGATAAGAAAATTAGGTATGATGTGCATTTAAACCCTCCCTGCTACAAGACATCTCCTGCTGTGTTAACCCAGCCTGATTCCAGCATGGGAGGGTGTCTCTCCAGGACCACTTCAGGTAGCATTGTCTGTCCAGTTCCTCTGCCGTTCTCAGAGGCTCCGAGGACCGCTTTGCATCTTTGCTGGTGACTGCCCTGTGTGTGTGTGTGTGTGTGTGTGTGTGTGTGTGTGTGTGGTGTGTGTACACTGTGGCACATGTGTGGAAGTTAGAGGAAAACTCTCAGGTGTCTGTTACCTCCTTAAACCCTGTAACATCTGAGGATGGTCACAGGCTGTCAGGCCTTTGTGCAGGCACCTCTATCCGCCGTGATGTTTTACCAGCCTTTTCATCCATTATAGAAACATTCACACATGAAAACCCACTATGCCAGGATGGGGAAACCCACAGAATCAGGAGACCCGAGCTACTTGGAGCTCACTGACTCTGGACTGACAGCAGGGGACCTGCGTAGGACTGAACTAGGTTCCTGAATGCAGGTGACAATGGTGTGGCTTGGGCAGTCTGTGGGGACATTGTCAGCGGGACCAGGATCTAACTCTAATGCATGAACTATCTTTGTGGAGCCTACTTTCTATGGAGAGAGACCTTGCTCAGTGGGGGCAGGCATGGTCCTGCCTCAACAAGGTGATGGGACACATTTCCTTGAATTCCCAGGGGAGGCTTTTACCCTGAGGAGCAGATATGGGGGGTGGGAGGAAGATGGGGTGAGTAGGAGGAGAGAAGGGAGGGGGAACTGGGATTGGTATGTAAAATAAATAAACTATTGTACAATAAAAAAAAAATAATAAAATCCACTCTGTTAGAAAGGTTGCCCACATTTCCTTGCCAGTGCCTTCCTTGCCCTCTGTCTCCAGCCATCTCATAGGTCAGCTGGTTGAGGCTTTTCCCCTACAGCTCTGGAGCTCCTGCCCCTCCCCAGATACCTCATGCACACACAGGGCACAGGTATGTTCTCACCCAACATAATACCAGGAAAAGCATGTTCAGATGTCTGAAGTCACCAGATTGGCTTATTTTCTGAATGGCGTGTCCAGCTGTCCTGACTCCCTGCAACCACAAACTGAATAAGTGCGGTACCCGTCACCCCTTCAGGTCCTCTATGCTGCCAGATGGTTCTGGGACAGCCATACGACTCCCCCATTGGTTAATTTGTCTCTTTTAGATCAATCCTGCATGACTTCTGCTATGGCGACTTTAGGATTAGCTTGGTATCATTAATACTAAAATTCTACCTAGCGGGTTTGAGCAGAGATGTGTTCCCTATGAGAACGGCAGGACCAGGCCAGGAGAAGTGTAGCCTTTTAGAATCCTTTTGTTAAAAACAAATGAAACAAAACAAAACAAAACAACAACAACAACAACAAAAAACAACGTGGCTCGCAATCAGAGTCTTGCTAAAACCTCCTGTGTGCCCTGGTATAGACACAACCTCGCATGGCCACTATGAGCTGTAACATCAGCTACAGGTTTGTTGGACTCAGCTGCGGCCTGACACCCCAGTCCTGGGGAC